CCCACCCCTCTCCACGCCGACCAATGTTACATCGGAACCTTCATATTCAATTCCAGAACCTTCGACAGTTATTCCAATCCCATCACTGACTATCACAGATCAAATCATCACACAAATTCCACATCACCAAAATAACTCAGTCAGAACAGAAAATTATTCGAATTCAAGCCCATTCGACTATGGTTACCCTTATCATATTCCTGCAATTTTAAGAACTACAATTGCAATATTCATGGCTTTGACTTTAATTATTATTATTATTAAAAAAGTTATTTTTATTGAAAGAGACACAATATGTGAACGAGAACGTAAAAGATTCGATCGTAAGTCTTTTGTAGTACTCGATGATAATGTTGAGAGTGATAATTGGGACGAAGTGGTAGTTAGTATTGACGAGCTTGAGGAAAGCGATCAATCTAGGATTACGGAAGACCGTGCTTATGGTGATATAATAATTATGTTACCCGAACCTATATACAACGGTAAAGGCTAGATAAAAAACGATATTGTTTATAGAACGGCATGTTGTAACGTACTGGTTATGAATTATCACATCGTTCAGTTGGAACAATACGGTTTATATAAAATTTTAGATTTGCCATTTTGTATCTAAACTTGTTTTATATGACAGTATAATATATTAATATATAGTAATTTAATAAATGTGGCAGATTAAAATAAAGTTGTCTTATTTGAGCTAGAAATTTACGTGTTATAGTAAATTTTTAAAGAAATTAAAAGTTGTTACCAATAAAAACCGAGTTTATGATAAAATTTTAATATCTAAATTCTAATAGTCTATATTTTAATATATATATTTTCAATAAAAACAATTTTTAATAGTTTATAATTTCAACAAATATTGAATTGCAATAGTTTATAATTTCAAAATTCTAACAGAATTTTAACGGTGTATATTATAAATTATCCAAACTTTGTTAATATTTGGTTTTTTCAAGATTATAAACTATTAGTTACAGAACATGTTTTAATCGTTGCTGTTACTTATAGGTCAAATGATGTGACGTACCAAATTTTATATATCTGATATAAAGTTTTACAAAAAATCATTAAAATTTAATTTGTTTAAAAATATATATATATAATTTTTTTGAAATTTTAAATATATATTCCTTACCATTTTATAATCTTTGCTAAAGCCTTATCTTTTAATTATTAATAGTTTAAAGAAAATCTTTTACTAAAGTTGAACAATTCTTTACTATATTCTTTTTTTTTGAATGTTAATGGTGAGTCTATGTCTTTATTTTTATTGAAATTTAATTTGATTCTCTTATAATGAAAAGAATACATTTAAACTTTATATCATAAGATAACAAGAAAAAAACTCAGACTAGTTTATTTGCGGCCTAAACCAATTCTTTACTATATTTTTAATTCAAAAATATATCAACTTTAATAGAAAAATTTCTTTGAACTACTAGTGATTAAAAAACAATATTTTTAATAAAAGATTAAAAAAATAGTAAAGAATATATATATTAAAATTTTAAAAAGTTTGTATATATTTTTTTAAATGAACTAGACTAGTTGATGCCTTATATATTG